AATCTAGAGAAATAAGCTAAAACACGTTATCGAGGCTGTAAAATTTGAGGGTTTACCTCGATTTCTCTAGGATCCTATCATCAGATTCTGATTTTGGTCGTAAGGGGCCCACCACGGGAGTATACCATTTCGATTACAAAAATAATTTTGAAAATCAATCAACAATTGCACTGACTGCACGGATGGCGTAGTGGTTTAAGCGGTCGCCACGCCGTTTTCTACTACGCCGAGACTTGTGGGTTCAAATCCCACATGGGACGACACTTTGTGTGATCCACAAATTGTTGTTCTGAGTCTGGGTGTTCTTTGTGCCCGTTTCATATATGTTTGTAAGATTCCCCGCGACACAGGATATTTTCCTAATGCGGGCGTTATCTTTTAAAAATAGAATAGAATTGACGGAGATATCGCGTCACAAACATACAAAAAAAAACCGCCGAATTGTTAACCTCCTCTTTTATGTTTTTAAAGTCGGTTAAAAGAAAAGAGAGAGCAACGTAAATATTAAAAGCCAATATAAATAAGGGATAATTCGTGACTACCTACTCTAAACTTAGTGAGAAGGAGAACAGTTAACGAGTATAACTCTACATAATAAGGATGATTTAGGAACTACTCGTACACTAAATAACTAACTGGCTGCAAATTTGAAACCAAATGAAAAATTAAAGCGATGCTCTTAAAGTGGTGTTGCTATTCTGTTGAGATAATTGACTAATATTCTTCCGCGACATTGATTAATAGAAACTTGTGTTAAATTTGCTCTCGAATTAATTTATTGAATTTTTGTATCATACATACATAACGTATCTAGTTTGTATCCTATTACAATTATGTATTCGGGAATCAACGCGAGTCCTAGATATAACGTCGCACTCTTACCGGGTCACAGAGCCTGACTGTGAGGCAGCGGTCAGTGTAACCTGGCCTGCCACCTGATGGTGCTAATCCCTGTTAACAAAATTATTACACATGGGTATATCACGGAACGCGACAATTCGTCATTAGCAGTGAATCATTTTCGTGTGTCAAAATAAACTATTGATAACAAATCTTCGTAAAGTAAATGACTCACCGTGTCGTTAGATTTCATCGTCGATAAAATAATATATATAATAATCCATAGCTACAAGTTCCCCCATTAGCTTCGACGTTTACTTCAACTGTTTTGACTAATTATAATTAAATACATTTGATGACAGTGACCCTTAAAACACTGACTAACTAAAACAGTTGTAACCAGTTGACGACCTTGACCGGTAACACTATATGTACAAAACTATTGCACAGGGGTACAACGATGTCCAGGGACTTCCTTTCTAGGGTATACCTGGTTCCCCGGCTATTAGTACCCGAGACTTTTAGTCTCATAGAGTTTTAGTCGGTTCGAGTCTGACATGCCACCGATAGGTGATATCCGAGGGGATTTCCCAAGGACCTACCTGTTACACAAATTACTCTGGTTCTACTAGTCTTAAATATTACCCTACGCTAGTCTTTTTTGAAAGAAATGAATACTAGTCGGGATGCTAGAGGTTTTCATTTCGATTCAAGATGGAATTTAATGAAACTTGGAGGAAACTGAAGGCCCACATAATGACCCATTAAAAAAGTTAGAATGGACGAGGTCGGGAAAATACTTTATTATTGCAATTTAACTTTGAAATCCGATTTTTTTCAGTTATCTCACAATATCTCAGAAATAAAGCATTGTAGCGAAAAAGTTTTATCCAAAAGTTCAGCTGATGATTTTACGTAGGTATTAAGTATTGTAAAGAGCTGGAAAATCCTATCGAAATAATGCGGCAAAGTTGTAAAAAACGAAAAACAAAAAGGTAATAAAAAACGAGAAAAGAAATCGTAGTTTTGTTACCAAAATGCACCCGGTCCGCTTTTTCAAAAGCAATTTGGCGACCTATTGCAAAATTGTTTTGTGTTAAAATTTATATCTTATTGTCATTGGATTCTTAACATAAAACTAATATTTGACTATTTTAAAATGTGCAAAAGTTTCTATTCACTTTTGCACATTTTAAAATAGTCAAATATTAGTTTTATGTTAAAAAAAAAAGTGAAAAAGAGTTAAAAAGTGAAATTTAAAACTATTTTGCGATCGGTCTGAGCTACGTGTGTGACCTGCGTTTCAGGCAGTCGCTTGGCTATGATGTTATGGGCTGAGTTCACTTGGGACAGACTCGTGCCAAGTCACACCAAGGTGTACATGGGGTATTTTGTATACGTGCTCTAACTTATGGCCAACTGGTTTTTTGGGCACACTTCAAAGGAATCTTGACGTAGTTGCGCCTGTGGTGTTTACACACTAGGTCACTCGCCCAATGTCCAGTTCGTCACCGTCCGCTGACGTGGTAGCACACTTTTTAACACGTTTTACAATACAATACTTGACAATACACAAAGCGTGAATTGTTATAAAAATATTTTATTGACAGATATTTATAAAAGTAAAGCAAAGTAAAAAGTAAAGTAAATATTAATAATTGCTTTTTCTTTTTGAACTTTTAGAAAATTATTTTTTACTTTTTAGTTCGGCTACTTTTTTTTAACTACATTACACTTTTACTACACGCTGTAGTAGATTAAAATATGACAATTTAATATAAAAGTGGTAGGTAGGTATTGGTTTCATACATTTATAGTTATATCCATTAGGACATATAGTTAAAAAAATAACTAGCAAAAGTCGGTGCTTTAGGAAGTTTTCTACATGTCCTTTTTGATTTTATAATTTATAATATTATATTATTTCGGCTATTCCGCGGCCGTAATTCTTTCTCTTTTTTTTAGACAAATCCCGCATTAGGAATATATCCTGTGTGGCGGGGAACTTTACGAACATACATGAAACGGATACAGAGAACACCCAAACTCAGAACAACAATTTGTGGATCACACAAAGTGTCGTCCCATGTGAGGATTGAACCCACAACACTCGGCGTAGTAGGGAGCGGCGTGGCGACCGCTTAAACCACTACGCCATCCGTGCAGTCACTTCCACGTACATCGCAAATGGTGCGCCAGGCAACAATGAGCTATGCACCAATGTGTAAACACCTGCGTTGTCGGCCTACATTTGGCGCATGGCGGAGCTTAAACTTGGTATGTAAGCTAGTACTAATTCCCAAACAACAACAAATTGTGAAAGCTTGGAACTTTTACCCCCCAACCTCTTAAACAAGGATGGAAGTTTAAATGAGACTTCCTAAAATATGAGGCTTGGCCGTTTCCTTATCGAGATTATCGTCTGTTTAAAGGGCAACAATCATGTTCATAAAATCCTCCTCATGATAAAATAACGTTAGTTCCTAATGATTTATTTGCCATACTTAATAATTTTAAATATTTGAAACAAACGAATCAAAAAATCCTTACATCGACATACGATTACCTCATATGGGTGCATTTTTTCTTGAAAAAATATTAATGATCAACGACCGCATGGCCAATAAGTGACCGCAACTCCAGAGACCTGATAATTAAGTCCAGTAGATTGGCGCGACAATCGATAGCAACGTCATGCGTCAGGTACGCATCAGATTCAATATCCACTCCTTTAAATTATTTTTATGCATTATACCCATCCATTTGTTTAAAAGTGGTGTTTGCTTGTATAACACACATAATATTCAGATAGGTTTTGTCCAGTAGTTTACTGTGTTATTCCAATGCCCACAATACAACTTCTCTAAACTCATGTAGACAGCTGTGAAGAGCGTGCATTGAGCGGTTATTTCCTTCAATGTTATTGTATTGCTAACGAATCGATATTAATGTTACTTTAAAATAAGTTTCTAAATACTACCTATTGTTGGAGAATAGATATAGAAAGAATATAGAAAGTAGTCTTCTACGATAGAGAAGCACACAGTACAGCTAGTCAGGGCCTCAATTCTGCTATTTTATGTTCACGCCAAGCCACTGTCATACTACTGGCACGCTATTGAGATGCCATAAATAAATAAGTAAATAAAAATAAATAAGTAAATAAAAGTAAAGAGAAATAAATAAATCATTTCCTCAAAAAAACGTAATAAATTTTCAAATTATAATGATTTATTTATTTTTCCAAATATGGCAATCTTTTTGATATCACCACTGATGAGCCACTGCCATTCTATCGCCACTGTAAAGACACTGAGTTAGTGTAGACTACCGATATTTATACCGATGCCAATGGCCACTCGATGGCATCTCAATAGCGTGTCAGTGGTATGTCAGTGGCTTGGTATGAACATAAAATAGCAGAATTGAGGCCCAGGAGTCACGCCCGCGCTGTGTCGCATTGTTGCAGTACATCAATATCATCAGCTGAGCGGAGCGGATCATGGGCGAAGTCTGACCGCAGGTGACGTCACACAACCTCCTGACATGTATATTTAATGTGTTCCTGCTCGGTCCTGCCATCACTCATACTCGCCATGATGCTAGTGCAGGCCGAGCACGGACTTCATATTTTAGGCGTTTAGTGCGCAAGTGGGGCCTGCGCCCCGCGACTACTACGCGCCACCGCTAGCGAGTCCTCGTGCACTGAGTGCCTCGGTATTTATAAAACACCTAACTGCTGATTGTCGTTCATTGTATTTACATACCACTTCTAACATACTTAACTATTACGTGTGAGGTTATTATTTGTTCTAACATTTTTATGTGTGTGCGACATACGGTAAACAGTCGGGTGAGGAAAATCAATGAGTTTTATATTCGTGTGGATCGCCGGCTCCTGTTTCCTTGAAATCGATAAAAATATGTTACTGTAAATACAATTGTGTTAATGATTGCATTATCACTATTACAACGTCGTTTATGACTTAGATATTAACTGCACTCTTGACGATTTGACAAAGGACAAATATTCTGACACAGAACTTTAGTTTTTTTTTTTGAAACCTGAAAATCCTGAATCTATTTATTGTAATTGTTTAAGTGGTGTAACTTACAGAATTAATTAAGATCCCAATTTGTGACTGCGTAGTATGCAAACAATGAATGTGATGTATCTATTGTTTTTGTGTATTTATACAATCCTGGCGGTCGTAAAACATCAGTGTGCGGTGAAAAGAAAGCACAAAGCGCTGAGCACTGTTTGTAATTATAAGGTTCGTCGCGTCGTAAAAATATGGGTTCGCGAATATCGACCGGCGCGCGTTTTACTGACGTCCGGCACGTCACGACGCGACTTCGTTTTCAGCGCGACTGTGAATGCGAAATGCGAGGAGGCGACGGCACGCGGTGCGCGATATCTAATTGCGGAGTGCGGGGTGCCGCGGGACGGAGCGGTTGCCATGGTGCGAGATCAGGCCACGTGCGTGTGGCCAATGGCAGAACGTAGTCGGCCCGCGAGCACGCTGCGCCGCCGTGCCGCGGCGCGCCGCTACCCTCGCGCACTCAACCGCTCACCGCCAGCCCCGCAGAACCCCATGACTGACACAGTACGCTCCAAGTGACTACACCATGACCCTGGACACCGCGCGTTCTTTGTCCTTGGCTCTAATCTTTTATTTGATAAGACTCCTTGAATATAAGAGGTCTCGGAGACTTGTTTGAATAGGGATTGCCATTAACAAAACAATATCACCAAATTAGGAATGGAATAAAGTCAGTCAATCAATAAACTAAGTACGAACATGTCCATCATTGAAATCACATAACTTGAATCACGTTACCTAATATTACTTGACGTCTATTACTACACAACGGCAATTTCATACTTTAACCCCTATTATATATAAATGTGTACTTAACATTGGTAGATTTCTGTAAATACATTGTTCACTCACCGTAGTGGATTATTCGACAAAATGATAGAAGGATACTTTGGCAAAATTGTTGTATTCGAAGTTGTCTGTAGGTCATCATCTTTTTTAATTGGCTACATCATATTGCCATTTAATACGCCTCTGCCCACGAAACAAAGTCACATCTTGAAGCTGCATTACAAGCAATTTTGCTACAGTTCCGATGATGATAGATCTTAATTATGTAAATATGTTTTTTCTTAATATTTTTTTTTAATATTTCGTTAAAGAAATATTAAGCTATACTCAAACGGCTTAATGGATCTTGGCGGTTTAGGGTGTTGTCGTTTCGTCCTAATTGTGGGAGAGGAGTGACACTGGGTATTTATTATGCAAATTATAAAAATTAAATAATAATAATATTTTCGGACATCTGATACACAACGCCATCTAGTTTCAAACTAAGCAGACTGTGTACTATGAAAGCTAGATTTACTGATAGATTACTTACTCATACATACACTTACTTTTTTTGTAACAACATATTATACATAAAAAACACCCAAACTCCGAAATAAATATTTACAGATCAAACAAACTTTAGGTCCGACCCGAGAACCGAGCCCGAGACCTCAGCACAGCAGTCGCACATGTTACCACTGCACCGCCGAGGCAGTCAGTCGGTTTGTAAATTTTAAGTACAATATGTACATTTTCGAGCAGACGGTTTTTTTTTAACAATTTTTTTCAAGCTTGTGAGCATCCGCGAGTTGACAGTACCTATGCTTCAAAATAAGAAACATATACTTAATGAAATAGATCTAGCGATAGAAAGACTTAAACGATACAAGTGATGACAGGATATTTATGTACTAGTTATTTATTTTTCCTTTAGAAAAATAGTTTTTTTTCGTGAGTCACGTGGTTGCAAACACCAATGAGAAAATGTGTCGTAATCGTACAAATTGCACAGCTTATTAACCAACGAGCTGTCTTGCTTATCTTGTTGTGTTGTTCTTCTGTATACAGAAATGTTAAAATTTCCGTAGTGCTAAATTTTACACCTTTTTTTATGTAAGAAGGGCAGACAAGTAGACAAAAAAAATGGGTAATTTTTTATGCAAATTAAAAGTACTTTGTCAAATGATGACAGCATACGTAGTCACGTGAAAATATTGTCACGTTTTTGTGACCTATTGCTTATTTAAATTACAACATGTTTTTATTTGACTTAAGGATAAAATAATGAATTAAATGTTACTTTAGAGGGAACATTGTCAACTCCCGCATTGTTAATTGATTGCCTGCTCAGAATTGATTGTCTGGAATCTGGAGAGCTCCTTAACTTTCATTAGACGCCATGCAGTAGTTAAACTAGTCACATTTTCACATATTCGAGTGATCCAGAAATATTTGTTTTAAGTGTAGTATCATTCGGTTGAATTGGATGGTGCACGTCGATCGTATCCCACTATGGTTTGTATAACTTAGCGAGATGGATAATAAAATTATAACTTTTCGCAAACAGCAATTAACTTTTAAATAGTATTCAAAAACAAACTTTGTTGCAATAAACCAAAGAGTATTGAATTAAATGAGTTTCATTATCCATCAAGCCTTACGCAGATAGTCAGTGATTTGCTTTAATATATACTCGTAATGCGCGTGAATATTCGTAGTTTTAGCCGACTTTAAATAAACAAGTAGGTTCTTACATTGTTTGTTACCTCATATTTAATTTATGAAGTAATTTTAAAAATGTTTTTTTATTTGGGGGTTTACTTTCCATTTGGTCTCATTCAAATTATAAGTAAAATATCACTCCTAGGGATTACACACCTAGTAATGAATACACAGTACAATACAGTTTATTACAATTGATCACGACGTACACGCACTGAAGTCAGTGATACTAGTTCAATAGTTCCTTGGGTACTTGATCCTTTATTTTCCTGCGCCATCGTTCTTCTGCAGATGTATAACCGGCGATAGTGTAGTTAGCTCAGACTTCATAAAATATCATCATCGTCATCACTGACCATCGTCATCTTCAACAGCCATAATTAAAATTATTATTATTATTATTCACTGCTGGACATATGCCGTATGACATATGAAAAGAGGTTCATATTGTTATATTTTCGTACAATGGTTATTATCGAAGCTCTCCAGGTAGGCTCTACATACGAACCTACCTCTTAGTAGGTACTTTTTAAATTGCTTCAATGAATTAAAGCCATGAGTGATAGATGACCCTTTTCTGATACCTAGGTAGGTACGAAGTTTGAGGCTAGTGCGTTTAAAGAAAAATGCAGTTGCTACAACTGCAGCTGAAGTTGAGATTACTCTATAAGTTGTAGTAATAGACCAGGGCTGTCCAGTCAATGGCACTATACGGTGCAAGTGTTTGCGGAAACTCTGATCGCCCAGAATAAGGATGTAGGCGGATCTCTGCCATGGGATTTAGAGGCGGAAATGAGTGCCTAAAGGCCACTGGCCAAGCGACGATGACTCGTTGGTCGTCCCGGCTGGAGGCTCCACGTACTTGTTTTGGAGGCGGTCCAGCCGGTCTTCGTCTAGGGGGCAGGGTGGCAGCACGAGACCCGTTCCTTCCGACTAACACAGGTCTTTTCTGGGCACGTCTGCTCAGGAGCAGTCGCTAGGAGTGAATTGAGTTGCGCCTGTCACCACTGCAGTGCAGTTAGAGCTCGGCTTAGCACACACTGGTAAAACGTAGAGCGTCGGGTGCTCATTGCAGTCATCAGAGAGGATTTCTCGCTACCAGCCGTCACACGCTCCATAGCTGGCGCGGCTTCCAGCGCCTCATGCTGCCCTGAGCGTGTTCTCAGGTGGACCGGTTTTGCCCTCGTTTGACATGTTGCCTAAATGAAAGTTTATCCCCGAAGGTTATGCCGGTCTCGGTCGGCGTGAAATGTTGTGCGGTGTTCCATATGGGACGGTACTAGGGCCGCTCCTATGGAATATCGGCTACGACTGGGTGTTTCGCGGCGCCATCTTGGATGGTGTCGCCCTCACGTGCTACGCGGATGACACGCTCGTGACGACTTGCGGTAAGGCGCACCGTGAGGATCCGGCGACTGAGACTCGAGGTGTCTCTGCACAAATCTGCGGCCTTGTTCTTTCATGAGCGTCGGAGTTGGCGACCTTCACCTCCTCCTGCGAGCGATTCGTTTTCGAGAAGAGGGTGGAGCGGGACTTGAAGAGGCTTAGAACTCTAACTAGTCATACGGGAAATTAGAGCTACCGTTTAGTACCTACTCGGTAATATCGTATGGATGGATACATTATCGACTATATGAAAGAAAATTAAAAAGTAAAAATGAATCACCGTGAGTAACATAATACCTGACATTGAAATAAAACAATATAAACAACAAAATTACTTTATTTAAGTCATGTTTAACTACTAGTCCATAGAGCTGCTCGCGCCAGCCGAGCCCCGCGCGGCGCTGAAGTCGAGCACGAGCTTGCCCCGCGCACCCCCCCGCGCCGCGCGCTCGTACGCCTCCCCCCCGCGCCACCAGGGGAACGCCTGCTCCACGCACACTATGAACTGGAACACGAATACGGCGTCACATCGCCACCTCGCAGCGATTACTATCGTGCTATGCGATCTCATGCCATGTTGAATTCACGGTTTACGTATTTCGAGCGAGTCAGAGATTCGATTGAAAAAGATCCGGGGCCGGGCCTGCCGGTTGAGAAGTCGAGGAGACCGCTATTACACAGTTAACTTCTATAAACTAGAAACATCATGTTACAAGATGGCCGGTCACGGAAGAAACTTTAGGTTCACAGAGAGACTTCCCAGAATCGAATTCGTGAGCCGTCAGGTATAAGACCCGTATTTTAAAAGACGTCTCGAGTATCGGTCTGATTATCTGAAATTCGTTTTAAATTCCGATCAAAACTTAAGCATGGATCTTATTACAGAACGCGTTTTAAGTTCTATTCAGTATGAATTAATCTCAAACACTGACTTGAACTTACAGACTGTTCCCGATTATGTTTCCGTATGATCGACTTCATTATTCACGCAGTTGATAATATTGAAAAGAACATTCTTTTGCAAACATAATTTCTGTAAATTTGAATATTGGCTAGTGCGGCAATGTAAACACGTTAACAAGCTTGTTGCTCGTCTATTATAACTAGCTATAACGGAACGTTCAAATTTCACCATATTTTTAAAATTATATTACTAGAATAATACTTTTGTCATAAATTAAAAGGTAGAAATTGATTTTAATTTGAACAAGTAATTGAATGTGAATCGAGGTGAATCGAATATGTACTAGTAATTTAATATTTTTCGTATTTATTCAGAAACAAAACATTGTAAAACGTCTTTCTTTAAAATACCCTTTTTTTCTGTGCGGATATCCACTCGGATATCACCCACCGGTTGTCCGGTGGGGTAGTCATGTCGGACTCGAACCGACTAAAAAATACAAGCCGTCTCCGGTACCGTTAGCCGGGGAACCGTGTGTACCCTAGAAAGGAAATCTTTGGTACCCTGGCGGATCCCGCGTCATCTACGGCTCGTGCGTGGAAAAGACGATATTACCATTTCACTCCCTAAAGGAAGCTCGCTTCCGTTAAGGTGATGGATATAATTCGGCGTCGGCTACGAGTCGGGCCCGAGTCTCGAGACGAGTTCGACACTCGAGGAGAGTCACGTCCTTTCCGATGAAACGGAACCCTAGCGTGAGCCGTCAACGTCGCTCGCGGCTCACCTGGTGGCGTTCGGCGAGACGGTGGAGGAGAGCTACGTCCTCGGCGCGCGGCGAGAAGAAGGCCCAGCGCACGTGCGGCGGCAGCAGCGCCGCGCACGGAGCCGGCGCGCCCCCGCGCAGCGCCGCCCCGGCCGCGCGCGCGCCCTGCGCCAGCAGCTCGGCGCCCGCCGCCAGCGCGCCCGGCGCCACGCCGCGCGCGTCCATGTGGCGCAGCAGCGGCGTCGTGAGCGTCACGTAGCGCGCGAAGCTCCAGCGCCGCGCGCTGGCCTCGCCGCCGCCCAGCCCCGCGCAGTCCAACACCGCCAGGTACCTGTACCGCACTACGCCTCGAGCTGACCGTTCCCGCTCCCGATCCGTGAAGATACCGGCGGGATTGAAATCGATGCCGGATCGCATCTCTAGTGACGAACGAACGAGAGTCTCGACGATACTCCGCGTTCGTAATCCGTCACCGTACGGACGCTCGTCGGCTCTCACGACCCCCGCGATACGAATAGGGGTGGCGACGACCACCCCTATTCGCCGCTGACCCCGTTGACCCCGAACCCGTCTGACCGGCAATGAGTGGCAGGCCAAAACCTCCTCTCTAAGGAGACGCCTACGTCCGGCGATGGACTACGAAGATGATTATAAAATAAATGAGACACGATACTGACGGTCCGCCGCTCTCCAGCCGACGATCGTAGTCGTCACGGTGACGGTCGAACACCTGCGCCGCGCCCAACTCCTCCGCCAGCTTCGATTGTTCGCCGGAGCATCCCACCGTCACCTGTTATCGGCCATCGTAATTACTATTCGTATATAAGGCCAGCGGCGGTAGCAAATTTAAACTACCGACCGAAGCGACCCACCTCTATATTTCGTTGCACTAGCAGCTGCAGGGCGGCTTGCCCCACACCACCCAAGCCCAGCAGCAACACCCGCGTTTGTGCGGCACCGCCGGTGAGCGCCGGGCCCTCCGGTGGCAGTCCCGCCGCCCTCAGCGCCGAGCACGCCGTGAGGGCCGCGTACAGTGCACCTCCCGCTGCGTGGTCCTTTAACGTCGACGGCGCCGGCCCCGCCTGAAATACGCATTTCGTCGAGCGCCGTTCGTTCAAACTGCCGTTCATCGTAAATCTCACATATCTTCATATTTGAAAAGCACAACCGATACGAATAGTTTTCGCCGGGTCTTATTATAAATTCGCTACAGTCATCATCGTACCCAGTGATCCTTGACGACGACGAATTCTGCGTGGCTGCCCTGGCGGTGTGGCGGCACGACGCCCCAGACGCGTGTGCCGGGGCGCAGGCGCGAGAAGGGCCCGGCGCGCTCCACCGTGCCGACGAAGTCACGCCCGGGCACCAACGGGAATTCTATGTCATCTTCGCCGTCCAGGGCTCGCAGCGTGTTCAGAGCTCGTGCGCCGTATCCGCCTGCCGTGAACTCGCATGACATCACAAGTACATGTATCAATTTTCATTAATGAATTTACAACGTGTAAGACGTAAAAGTGTAGTTGCATGGTTTGACGATGTTCTACATGGTTTGTTTTGATACAAATGTGTGAGGGTCATGTCAGAGTTTCTTAATTTTTCTAGAGGGTGAACTCAACCGTTTAACGTTGCTCACCGATCATGGCGACGTCGATAGGATTAAGGGAAGCTGCCGAGACGCGCACGAGCACGTCGTCCGGGGCCCGTAGCGGGGGCACACGCGCTTCCTCCAGGTGCAGTTCGGACAGCGCACCGTAGGCGTGGACGCGCCAGGCGCGCATGCGGCCCGCCGCTAGTGCTGCGCGCGGGTCGAGCGCCAGGCGGGCGGCCGTGCGTACATGAGTGCTCGCTGTCATAATTACTGCTACTGAAAATCGATAAATATCAAGCAAGTCTCCAGTACCTATTGAATAACCAGATTTCAGATATCATACATAATGCCTTGTCTCAAATGATCGGTAATACCGTTGTGATACATTTACAATATGCTTGCAGTTAAAAATACAACCACAAATATTTTGCAAAATCATTGATGATATACTTTGTAATTATTAATGATGATTAATGCTTGTGTGCGTTACACACATTTACAAATACTTGTTTCACATGATGCAAAGAACAGGTAAATAAATAACTGATGTGGTTTTTGTGTGATACCCACACACAAAAACATACATTTTCAAATGTTGTGTATTCAAACACTTTGTGTATACCCTTTTCCATTACTAGAATTGCTAGGATTATGTGTGCCCGATAGGTATGTGTGGCAACGCCAGTAACCACCCCTGCTAGTGCAGCCAACAGGATGAACAAACATCTTGCTAATCACACCTCGTACCTTACAACTGCAGGTATAGATATATTGTGGTGTGCTAGGAGTGAATTCACAAGGACAGCATTGTTTATAATATTTTTTATGTTTACCTAATGGATGTAATGTGTTTTATAGTTTATGGGAAGCAAATAAAGTTGCTACACTACTGTATTAGGTTAATCCTATTCTTATAGATGTACTGAGAAAATAAATATTGTTTTTGTTATTGAGAAATAATGAAACTAACAAGTATTGGTGGCCCTAATGAATAAATAAGAAATATGTAACTCTTATGATGTATCTCCTGAAATATGCCTTCAGTACACACTTTTCAACGCTGAAGGAATCGAAAAATTGGTGGACATTAAAAATTACTAGGATTAAATTTAAAAAAAAAATTTGAAGTGGTTAACAATATAAAATTCATTTGAATATTTTATTTAAATGTAAATTTTATGCATTTATATCCTTATTGACGCAAATGTCTATACATTTATTTATTATATGCTTAACCAGATCAGACTTTATCTATATGCTATGTTCTGCATTCTACATGGAAGTACATTTCTACGAGGGCAATACAAACTTTGAATAACGAACAAAATTGCAAGTGTATATTAGATCAGGTCTAATAAAACAACACAGCCTAACAAGTGTTACATTTTATCAAAATACAATAACACGCATAAATTATTTTTGTTAGTGAATTAGGTATTTAAAAAAAAATTGTTTCGATTTAGGTTATTTACGCGCATTGGCAAAACCCCAATATTGATATCAAATTACAGTAATGACTACCTACTGACAATCATAGGATTAGATTGTACAAATAGTTAAGAATCAGTTTACCTCCTAGGTCTTTTTCGTAAATTCACAGAACACATTAAACTCTCGTCTACTTTCTCCCTCTTGATCTCAAAACAAAAATCAGCTGACAGTGACACCTTGACAGTCCATTTCAATCAAAAAAATTATTTTAATGTATTATTTTAATTTCTATTGATTGGATAACAATAATTCTGCACTGCTGTCACTGTTACCACAAAGTAGAGTATACTTGAATCCTTGATTCTTTATGAAAGGCAGATGGTTGCGAATGCCATTCAGTGAGCCCGTTCCTTGGAAATAAGTAAGTTTCTGTAAGTTGATTCTGATCTAATTTATGTTTAATTTTTGTGGAGGGTAGAGGTAAGGAGAACCGTCTCTGTGTATGAATAAATGTCCGTAAAAACGCGTCCAATAAGGGTGACACTGCGGTGGGAATTAGAATCACGTTAATAAACACTACTAATAAAATCACTTTAAATTATTTTAGACTACGTAAATTTAAATATTTGAACTCATCACATCACTCCGTCTACAATAACTATGTTCATATCGTAGTTTTCGTACGCCAGTGAACTCTATTTTCAGTATACAGATGCAAACTTTTTCAACTTGCCCCCTAAATGAGACGGTTCTCTTTACCTCTACCCTCCATATTTACTTATGTAAAGGAATAACTTGTCAACATGGGCAATGTGTCATTAATGTCAAGTGAAACATGCTGCTGACGAAAACCAAAATTTCGGTGGTTGAGTTGATAGAAGATTAACTGATATAATAAGATGAAATCAATACTTTAATGACTGATTTCTAGTATATCTGTATGACAGTGAGAAAATAAACTTTCGAATAACTCTATTCTTTAACTTAAAAGATGTTAAATAAAATGCTGAAAAAATATATCACAGTTTGTTATCGTTGTAGGCGTAATGCATCCAATAGTCGTGCAATGAGCAATTGTACCACATCTGCGGAGGTAGGTTTGCAATGCTAAACTTTGAGCTTTTTAAATATATGAATTTAATTACGTATCGAGATTGACAAGCTGGATTATAAGACAGCGAATAATCAGATAAGTTTTTACTCATGAGTTTGGTTTTAAACGAAGGTGGTTTGAGCATGTTATATGATAGGCAGGTAACAACAATAGTGTTGACAGAGCAGACATTGAGTGGCCACGGCGCGTAGTCTCCGGTCTGCAGCCGACCGGCGCCCTGCACATCGGCAACTACTTTGGTGCGGTGCGGCGCTGTGTCCGCCTTCAAGATAAGGGCGACGACCTCATGATATTCATAGCTGACTTGCATTCTCTTACCACCCATCAGGTAATTCTGTGTTCTACTGTTACTTATGTATTCAAGTTACAATTTACCATGAAGAAAGTATTTTGAATAAGCATGTTGTGATACTGAAAACGGCAACCTTGGCTACCTATTGGCTAATTCATAGCAGTTAGTGTTCTATAATAGTACAAAATATTTACTTCTTACACATACTATGTCAAATTATTTGCTTAGATAAGCTACTTAGATTGATTTTGAAAGAAGCTGTCTTCACAAATGATGCTTTATGATATATGTCACTTATATTTTGTTTGTGTATATGTATGGACCAGTAAAAAAAATATTTTATTGTTGTTATAATAAAGGTATTTATTAATTGGAATTTATAGTTACAATTAAACATTTAATCATAATTGTAAATGGTAATTGATTTATCGAGGCCTTCGTTAAACAGCAATAGGCTCAATGATGATGAATTCATTTTAAATCATTACTACCATGACAGTTGACGACTGTACATAGATGTAAGTATAATATAATAGTATGTATAACTACATTATGTATTTAATAATAATTATTGTTAATAATAATAATCATTATACACATATTGATTGACACTACATGTATGGTTGTGTAACTAACTGCAGGGATATTAGCACATTTATAATGGAGTCACCCAATTCTGGTATAAAGCTCTTTAATGACAGGATAGACACATCAATACATATTCCAAGAGGAATCCATAAAATATTACTTGCTTTGAACATTTTTATATATTTTTCATTTTGCTGATAGATTTTGTATTGGTCCAGAGATTGTCACTCTAATAGCTTACTTTTAGATCACAACTGCTAATAATTATGAATGCATTACACACAGAACGCAGAAATGTATGATTTAATAGACCATTTCACCACAAGTTTAGCCTTAAATTGAATCATTGTGTTATTTGTTATATCTATCACTTATGATTATATGTAGCTATTAATGTAAAGCTGCACACGCACCACAACAAAACTACTTTCTAAAATAAGTGGCTTTCTACATTTTTGCTTAGGACCCAGTGGCACTACAGGAAAACGTGCTGGACCTTACTGCGTGTTTGCTGGCTAGTGGCATTGACCCGGATCGCAGTGTGCTGTTCACGCAGTCGTCAGTGGCGCGGCACTCGGAGCTGTGCTGGCTCCTCACGTGCCTAGCCACGCACGCAAGGCTTGCGCATCTGCCGCAATACAAGGACAAGTCGGCTAAAATGAAGGAGGTCCCGCTTGGCCTTCTACTCTATCCCGTATTACAGGTCTTTTTCTGAATTGTTATTCTATCGATTTTTGTTTGGCCGTTTTTGTATCGGTGTGTTCCGTTGCCGTCGTAGAATAAATAATTTCAGTACTTATTTCTTAGATTCATGAATCAGCCATAAGTTTATTTGAATGACTTGGCCCTGGTACTAATAGCGTGGCTGTTGTGCAGGCGGCAGACGTGCTGGTGTACCGCGGCACGCACGTGCCTGTGGGTGTGGACCAGCTGCAGCACTTGCAGGTCGCGTCACAGCTGGTGCGCACCTTCCACCACCGCTTTGGCAGAACATTCCCCACGCCGAAGCCTTTGCTAGCCGGTAACTTATTATTCTCTGAATATCTCTGCACTTTCTGTAGCTGAAACTGGTTAATCTGCCATCTACGGCAGTTTTTGTGAATATGGATGTGAAACATTTAAAGTCCCTCCGACCGGCACTTGGCGTTCCGAGGCGTCGCCACGCTGTGTGTTGGTAGTAGATATGTACAATGTAATGCGGTGTAGCGACGCGTCGCGTGCGCTACTGAAAAAAATTTTCAAACTGAAATAAATATCGCGTGCGCTACTGAAAAAATTTTTCAAACTGAAATAAATATCATTTAAGACTTGATATTTACATATAGAGTTATTTGCTTCCATAAGCTATCCTTTTATACTCATTATTTCTTCAAAATAATTTCACATTTGCCAGACATCCCGCGGTGGTTTATTTTAGATATATCTTAAAAACTGGCGACATATTCGTAGACTTATGTTCAGTCCTCTCTGTTCCTCCTCAAATCTGTTTTCCGATAGATTTCGTCATACAAACGAGACTGATTTTCCATATATGTATGTTATTCGAGGCCAATTTTATGAATATTGTATTTAGAACAAATTTGATAACCATAAAAAAGGTTATAGTGAGCCAACCATAAAAGATAGACATATGACTTTTTTTTAGAACTTTTAAAGGGGAACAATTCTATCGTACATGATTTTTGCGAAACTTGACTGTTTACGCAGCGCACGCAACGGCGGCTCTCAAAAGGAATATTGTTCCTCCGTTTTTGCAAGATTTTTCATTGAAACTCATTTACTTACATTGATAAGTAAATAGCCTTCCTCGCTAAATGGGATATCTAACACTGAAAGAACTGTTCAAATTGGACCAGTCGTTCCTGAGATTAGCGTTTTCAACAAAACAAACAAACTCTTGAGCTTTATAATATTAGTATAGATATACAGCTACAGTATTGGTTATGGCTCCGATTTCCACATTTAGACTCAAGAATTGTCATTTACGCGTCGAGAAAAGGTTGGCTAATTGAGCCAAATAAGCTCCCAGAAGAGAAGCCTCCTGGGGTGTACACAAGCTTTTAGGAGCAATTTTGTACAAGCTATTATAATAATAATAATTTATTTGCCAAAACATTTTTGATTCAAGGTAAACATGTTTCTAGGTATCATAACCATCACATTATTTCATTGAACTCTGGTACCCAAGGTAAGATTTAACTTGTAGTATGGGTAACCAGGGCTCTCGCATAAACATATACAAAACAAGCAAAACACTATCTTAGTGACTTGTTGTTACAATTTTAGTGCATTTTAAATTAAAGTATTTCACAATCACAAAAAAGGTTGGGATGTGTGCGCGCGCGACGCGTGTTGTGTGTGTGCGTGTGCGTGGGTGTATGTTTGTCTGTGTGTGAGTGTCTTGAATTGAGTCTGTATGGGTGTATGTTTTTATAGCGTTGAAAATCGAAGTAGGTTCTCTGTATCATCGTAAGATTTGTTCATTAGCCACTCAGTTACTATTCTCCTACATTTAGACCCAAAGAGGGGATAAATATTGCAGAACTTATTTATGACAATATACAAATGACACCCCAGAACTTTATGGTGCCGTGTTGCCAAAGTGGTCCTAAAAGTTGGGATGGGGCAGACATGATGTGCACGACGCCTTCCGGCATAACCAGAATTATACACCAGAGAGGAGTGCTTTCTGGAAATAGTGTGTAACACAAATAGCTGTCTCACAGTGAGTAACTGACAGTCATGAAAAATTTGGATAGTAGGATATCTGAAAGGCTTAAAAATCATCACTTTAAGAACAGCTCTCTGTGCGCGTTCTAGTGGTAGAAAAATGGTTTTAGCAGCACCTCCCCAGACCGTTATACAGTATGTCAATATAGGCTGGCATAAGGCATAGTAAACAGTTTTTAGTGTGTTGAAGTCAGCAGAATAGCGAAGTTTTTTAAAAATGAAGATCATCGGGCCCTTCTTGCCAGCTCACCTGCGGCGTCATTCCCGTGTGAATTACTGTGCCCTTTAATCCATTGGAGGAGAATCCCATTGTAGTGAGAAGCTACTCCAATGCTTGATGGCATTCGAAGACAATACCAGAGGTCATTGTGTTGCTTTCCAGTGTCTTTAGACACAGCTACAGTAAAAATTTGGATAATTAACATTTGATTTATTTTCCCAAGTAGAAGATGGCAGTGACAGATTGCTAAGTCTTCGGGACCCCAGCAAGAAGATGTCTAAATCTGACACAGACCCTAAGTCGTGTATCCTGCTAACAGATTCTGATGATACAATTTTGCTGAAACTAAGAAAAGCTGTCACGGACTTTACGCCACAGGTCAGTAGTTAGAATTTAATTTGTACTTTCAACACAATATTGATGCCTACAGCAAGTATTGTTGTTGTCGTGTCAATAAATTATCGTCGCTTTATCTAAAGAACCCAGTACACATTGGACCAACTTGGGCCAAGCCAAGCCAACGCCAATATGCCAATGGGGCAATGGTATACATTGGCGGAAGTTTGGTCATCTTGGCGAGCATTTGAATGTTGTCGGCTTTTTGGCACACTTTGAAGGAATCGTGGCGTAGCTTATACATTACACTGTGGTGGTTATACATTCGCCCAGTGTTTAGTTCGTCACCGACCGCTGAGGTATGTGCTATACCTCGTGTGCGTTACCCCAGCAAAATAATGTCGAAAATGGTCATTTAAACGTTATAGATAATTAGTTGCTCCCCTTCTGTAATTGTTAGGCACATTTTCAAATTTGTTTCACTTAAACTTTTTTAGTTATTTCAAAAAAACATTTCCTGCTGGAGTAACGTTTGAAACGTTACCGCAGCCAGACATTTTCTTTTTTAATTGTAATATTGAAATAAATTTTAGCTACATAATTAGTTATCCGGACTAGGTAAATGTTACAACTTATTTGGTATTTGTATTTTCTCCGGCTGCGAAGTTATTCGAGATCCTGCTGGAGTAACGTTTGTGGGTTTGCTGGATCTCTGAAACGGGTAAGCGGATTGTAACCATCTTTTGTAAATAACTTCTTAAGGATTAGTTTTAATTTGTTCGACAATAAAATAACAAAAATAATGGACCGTTTAAAAATTATTTAGGTAAGTATGAAAACACTTCAATACGTCCTAACACTTTAAATAAGACCTCTAAAGACTTACTTTAAACGTTATTCTATTGCTTGTAACTACCTTCAAATGTATACGAATTTTCGTAAGAATACTGTAAGAGACTAAAAAGTTATGATGAAATGTAGCTCTCCACGTTCACGATCACAATGTGTGCGGCCTTTTTTGGCCACCGATAAACCTGTGTGTGGATATATAAACTGAATGTTATGCCAATAATTAGTTGTTTAGTTCAGTTGTCTACCTGTAGAATTTCAGCGTCGTACATATAATAATTTACGAGATAATTAAATAAAAGTCATTAGAAGGTGCAAGTCCGTGGTAATCCGACCATGTTTAGGTGGTTACAAAAAAGCGATCACCCAGTACATTGTGCTGGCTTTTAAAATATGTAGGATATTATTTGCAAGTTTACTACGGATATGTACATAAGTGTTACAAAAAACTACATGTTTTTAAATAATTTTTATTTAGGATTGTTTATTGCATAATTAGTAATCAGCCGGGAGATTAGGTATTGTTTTGAATGCTTTTGTTTTCTCGTAATTTTAAGGTGAATTGTTTATAGTTGTTCATAGAATTGGTCCCTGTGTAGTATTTGTTAATTGAAGTTTAATTTTAGGGTAGGTATAGGTAATTTAAGTTTTGAAGAGTGTAACGTATGCGTTGTAAATAGGTATTTTGTGAATAGATGGGGATTTTTTTAAGTGATGAATCGACTTAGGCTAGCATATCGCGAACAAACTCTGTATTGCATTATTTCTGTAATAATGTTGGAGAAAATAAAATATTTGATCACAAAAACGCGGTGAGTTTAATTATAATAAAATAAATTATTTATGTAAAATTAGTAATAAGTGAAATACCTACCTACAAGTTGTGATCGTTTTTAATTTGTTCACCCTGAACGAAATTTCAATATAAGCATTAGTAATTAATATCCTAAGACAAGAATTGACAATTACTTAAATTGAATCGAATTAGCATTAATGCCCATTATTAGTAATTAGGTACACACATATTGAAGAACTCTCAAGAATACGATAAATATTTGCAAAAATAGAAAGCGGAAGCGCACACGCACTTTACAAGACGTATGTTATCTGCCTAAGGGTCAAGTTTAGTGCACTAGATGCAAATTGCAAACAATGAAGTATCCCTTCGCCCCTCCCCTCCCGCGTTCTAGCGAAGGATGTATTATCGGCGATTCTTGATTGATAAATATTATCTGACCAATAATTTTATCTATAAAAATGTATCACTTTCACTCGATAAATTAAATTACCGTTACCTATTATATCAAAATATCATTCAACAACTGTTCGTTTTTAACAGAAATCAACAGTCACGGGCTCAACGCTTAGCGGTAGGTACATAGGTATAGATAATTCTCGGTTCTCGGTATAGACCACAGAACAATATTACCTACTCTTACGAGGTATACGACTGTTGGGCGATGCAATGTTGATGCATTCTAATTTACAACTGTATTTTTCTACTATTCGGTCTATTTTAACTTATTGTAGATGACTTGTTGCTTTAAATATTTTGATGCATTCAAGTCTAAGCTCTATACACCTCAAAATAAAATACAATTACTTTAGTGTCATTTCTTTACAAAAAAAAAACAAAGAAATGAAACGATTTCTTATTGGTTTAAATTTTCGATTTATTGCAGTCAGGTGAATCGTTCATACATGTATTGTAGATACATGTATATTTCTAATTTTAGCGGACCAGTGCAGATTTTCTGTTGATTGTAGCTCCGGTAGTTAAAAAGGCTAAATAAATTTTAAGTAAAGAAACTAGTGCTTAAGATCAATTAGGAAAAAAAGAACAAAATAAATAATAGGTAATAATAATCAATAAATATTGAATGTATTTAACACTGCACGCAACTGCAAATCTGCAAACTGCACGAAATCGTAAGGTGTATTACACTAAACATTTTAAAACACAGCGCAATGTACTGGGTGATCGCTTTTTTGTAACCACCTAAACATGGTCGGATTATCACGGACTTGCACCTTCTAATGACTTTTATTTAATTATCTCGTAAATTATTATATGTACGACGCTGAAATTCTACAGGTAGACAACTGAACTAAACAACTAATTATTGGCATAACATTCAGTTTATATATCCACACACAGGTTTATCGGTGGCCAAAAAAAGGCCGCACACATTGTGATCGTGAACGTGGAGAGCTACATTTCATCATAACTTTTTAGTCTCTTACAGTATTCTTACGAAAATTCGTATACATTTGAAGGTAGTTACAAGCAACAGAATAACGTTTGAAGTAAGTCTTTAGAGGTCTTATTTAAAGTGTTAGGACGTATTGAAGTGTTTTCATACTTACCTAAATAATTTTTAAACGGTCCATTATTTTTGTTATTTTATTGTCGAACAAATTAAAACTAATCCTTAAGAAGTTATGTACAAAAGATGGTTACAATCCGCTTACCCGTTTCAGAGATCCAGCAAACCCACAAACGTTACTCCTGCAGGATCTCGAATAACTTCGCAGCCGAAGAAAATACAAATACCAAATAAGTTGTAACATTTACCTAGTCCGGATAACTAATTATGTAGCTAAAATTTATTTCAATATTACAATTAAAAAAAGAAAATGTCTGGCTGCGGTAACGTTTCAAACGTTACCCCAGCAGGAAATGTTTTTTTGAAATAACTAAAAAAGTTTAAGTGAAACAAATTTAAAAATGTGCTTAACAATTACAGAAGGGGAGCAACTAATTATCTATAACGTTTAAATGACCATTTTCGACATTATTTTGCTGAGGTAACGCACACCTATACCTCAGCGGTCGGTGACGAACTAAACACTAAAACTTTTTACTACACACTGTACTCGATTAAAATATAACAATATAATATAAAAGAGGTAGGTAGGTATTTGTTTCTTATAATTAAAGTTAAATCGATAAGGTCATGTAATTAATATTATAAAGGCTGTTAGGTTACTCTTTCACGCAAAAACGTCTGAACGACGCTGGATGAAATTTGGCACAGAGATAGATTATAGTCTGTAATAGGCTACTTTTTATCCCGAAAATATATTGTTCCCGTGGGATGAGCGGGTACAACAACGGGGACGCAGATAGTGCTATATAATTGTGCATTACTGTCTAATATTAGGTGGGCATAAGTTGGTTCATAGTTGTGTAAAAAAGAGGTTCCGCCTCAATCGTAAAAAAACCTCAGCATGGCCACGTAACACGAGAGGTAGTACAAAACGCTTTCGCTGACTTCATGGCCTCCCGTCCAGCAGACTTCACAGTAAAGAGATAAACTGCCAGCATACTTCGATTAGGTAAAATAAAAAAATAACCAAAATTTTCATAGTTTAAAATTAACATTCAAATCATTAACTTCATAGGTATTTAATATTTGTTCAGAGAAATATAAATTTATTATTTAACCTTCAATACATTACATGAGGGTCTAAGCTTCCTTTAGGAACTAAAGCGCAAGGCAGCAGAAGTCGAACTATTTGATTGTTGTTTTTTTTTTTCCACCTGTACTATAGTATAGTACAATAATGAACTATAGAAAAATCGTTTTTGAATTTTATATTTCAAGTTCAAAATCGCTATGGTATCTTTTCTGACGAACGAGGGCATATCACTTTTACTTATATACTTAAACGGTAAACACATGGCATCGTCCTAACCGCAATAAACTAGTTTAGATTCACGCTTCACTCCCTCGCTAATGGAACGGGAAAGAGGAACGCCGATCACTAGTTTAGTGCGGCTGGCGACGGGCCGTGCACTGTTCTCGAACCGTCCGTAACGAGCGTAAACACGGCACTCGCCCAGGTCACGTTCGACCGGGAGAATCGGCCGGGCGTGTCCAACCTGATCGCCGTCCACTGCCTCGCCGCCGACAAGCTGCCGGAGGAAGCGGTGGAGGAGGCGGACGGGCTCGACACGGGCCGGTACAAGCGCGTGGTGGCCGCGGCGCTGAGCGAGGCGCTGGGGCCGGTGCGCGAGCGAGCCGCCGCCCTGCGCCGGCGCCCCGACCTGCTGCGCGACGTGCTGCGCCACGGGGCGGTCCGCGCGCGCGTCCGCGCCGACGAGGTGTACGAGAGCGTGCTCGCGCGCGTGGGCCTGGCGCCGCCCGTCGCGCGCCTGGCCCGCGCGGCCTCCTAGTCTACAGGCGATGGTGGTGGTGCTGCAGCGGCGCCAGGTGATCGGCGACGTGCGGCACGTGCTGCGGCTCGCGGCGCTCGCGGAGCAGAGCCACGAGGTCGCGCAGCAGGTCTACGGCCTGCGCGACGGCCTCGGCCTGTTTCTCGGCCGCCAGGGCGCTGCGCATGGCGGCTTCGGCCAGGAGCTCCTCGGTGCTGAGGCGCGAGTCGCCGGTGCCGGCCTGCCCCGCGGAACCCTCGGAGCACATGTCGTCGTCCAGCAGAGCGGGTTTGCGCTCTTCGTCCGAGTGGCTGCCGCGTCGTCCGCCGCCCGTCGCTGTTGCGCGAAACGTTAAATTATATTAAAGGTTATCTGTTATTATCGATCACCTCGAAGTTTATGTTTACATACATGTCTCTGTGTATTTATTTATTGAGTTGAGATTCCTCGTTATAATGATGTATGTAAGTGAATTTAAATCACATAAACGATCAGAAACGCCTAGTTACATTTGTTTGTTGCAAAACAGTTACACCTTAATTTTTAATACTTTACTCACATTCTCGTCCGCTGCTATTGAATATGTTCTGCAACCGTTCCTCGACACTAGAAAGGTCTCCTAAAGCCCCACCGGCCGCTGACTTTTTTCGCGCCTTATATTTTATGTCTGCCCAGTACTATAAACAATAAGAAATATTTACAATTATTACATGTCGACTGACACCTCTTTTTGGCAGCAGACCTGCAGTTATTACTCCAACATTCAACCTACTCACAGGCAATACACAAGATTTTTGTTTTGAGGACATTTTTGTGTATCATTCATATGAATTTCAGCTGCTTTGATGGGCAAATGTAGCTTGGAGAGACTTTAACCAACTACCTGTGATAATTGTACCAAGGACCTGGTTGCATCTCAAATCTTAGGGCGAAATAGTGGTTGGGTATACTGTAGTGACAGTTGTTACCGCATCTGCTTATCCAACTTGTGTGTTAGCGCCAGACAGATGGCCAGCTATTACAAAAAAACCATGTATGATAACCAACCATCAAAGGTGAACCAAATTTTTTGAGAAAAATAAACTCACAATGTGATAATATATCGTGCTCTAAAGCCATCAAGGCCAAAAAACCTGTTTTGAGATAATGAAGGCTAAATTTTTGAAATATTTAAATAGCCATAACTTTACCATGTGTTAACATAATCTTTATGTTTTTAGTTTTATTTTGAAAGAAATTAAAACAAATTAATATAATACTAGGCTATACCAAGTGAAAATCCAGTAATTTTTTAGAAAACTATAAATGCAAATCAATTATCTGTTCTAAATTTATAATTAGTTAATTAAAATATTTTGGAACATAGTGAAAAATCACTAAAGGCGAACTTAGTGATTTTTCACTATGTTCCAAAATATTTTTAAGACAAATAACTGGAGTCTGTTAATGTTTGCATTCAGTTGTTTTAATGATTTTAGACCAAAATGCATGCTTTGGAAATTTAATAGAAATTAAATAGTTAATAGTAAGTAGAAACGAAACAGTCCAAAAATACAAGCCAAGTTTTTAATTAGGTACTACCGGGTCGGTCACTAATTCTTAATACTCTCGGTCTCTTATCTAAGTTTTTCTATGAATTCTAATACAATCCTAGGCTATTATACCTTGTTAGATATCTAAACAATATGAAAATGTCTTTGAACAAATCTGCAATTTAAATCATAGTCATAGCATTCTTTTTAAAATTCATCAAAGAAAAAAGTTTACACAAATTTATATCTTTTTGCTATTTATAAACCATCTACTTCGGCCCAGTTTGTTAAGTTTAATTAAATTTTTTAATGGAAATTATAAAAAAATGTATTAACCACACAAAAACAGTAATAAAGGGTATAAGTTCTAAAAAATTGTATAAGGCAAAATTTTAGCAATTTTTATAAAAAAAACTGTGCGAGGTTATTATTATTATATAAAATAATAATAAAAGTATATATATGTTGGAGGACTGAAGTCTGGGTTGTTTTTAAATACAGTCTTTGAATGATGTCAGCTTTGCTTATCATTCTTTAGATGGTTTTCCTTTATAAAAGCTGTAGTAGGTAACAACAATTAAAAAACAGTAAATACAATTAAAAATGTATACCAAGTTCTTACCAACAGCCGTGCATAGATCCCTACAGTAGTAAATAAAGACAACAGTAAATACAGTTTCTAGCCCGAATAGTCCAGAAACTACAGGAGATTGTTTTCCAATTGATAGGGGCGTCAGACAAGGTGAAACACTCACCAAAGCTCTTTACAGCAGTGCTTGAATAAATGTTCAGAAAATTGGAATGGGGACATCTGGGCCTAAACATAAATGGAGCACACCAAGCCAAGAGATATCTTATAATAAAAGTGCATTTTTAGTTTCTTTTAAGTATAAACTCTTAATATATTTTTCTTTAAAAAAAATGACAGGCATGAAAATATATAATATGAAATTATAACAGAAATAAAGGCTGTATTATTAATTACAGTTAAAGATTGTTGTACAACTGTTGCCAGAAAGTCTGAGCCCTGGTACAAAACATGCTTTACAGAGTGGGACACGATTATTACATTCATTGTGCTGGTGTGGTGTGTCTAATACTGTTCAAATATTGATTTGTTGTACATAAAGATGCATGATGGTTCTCCATAAGAAAGACACTTAAACAGATGGTCGACTTCTGGCAACGAACAGGATGTGGGAGACGAACGAGAGCGGTATAGAGATATTAGTACGGACCTTGCACCACTTGTCAGGCGACTTAAGCGCACCGCCGCTATCAGACGCCGCTGCGTTCAGTCGCTCGGCCAGCAAGCGCCACAGCTTGCTCGAACTGAAACGTGAGTAGATCGACTGTTTGCCTGAAGCGAAGTCGGGATGATCTTCCATAAACGACAATAATAGATCCAGTTGCTCCGAGCTCACTCTGCATCGAGTTAACACGGCACTCATGTCAGCACATATCCATAAGTTCGTATACGAGCTCAAATATTCATATCGTTTGTATGTAACTTAACGTTTCGTAAATCACATTAAATAGCTAATGTAATCGTCATACATCACTGTATAATATCTCCTTTTGTTTGAGCACAATTATTTTGACAGTGATGACGGATTTGAAAAGTGTAATAGTAGTATTGCTATTTTTTTACTACATTTTCAGTATATTATATTATGAAAATGTAGTATATGTTCACAAAAACCAAGATTGAAGAAATTTGAAAAGAAGTTATGTAGATGCTTTAAATACCAAAAAAAGAAATAAACTTCTTGTACCGGCCTCTAGGCTCCAAAAGAAAAACAAGTATTTCGAGGTCAATGTGTCCGATATTATTGTAAAATTACCTTCAAAAAATAGTATACAAGACTTAAGTTTAAAATTTAAATCCACAATAAAACGTAAACTATGTCAGAAAGCCTATTACTCGATTGTGGATTACATAGAAGACAAGAATGCTAGGGATTAATTTAGCACAAGCTATTCCGTAGTGGAAATTTGATGTGGGCTGGTGTGTTTTGGAACGAAGTACCTACTTTATCGCGTGTTACACGCTCTAAGAGCTAAGAGGTCTCGCTAGGAGCGAGACCGAAAAATATGTAACAAGACTTTCTTCCGACACTTAAGTTTTCGCATCGACGCTCACATGTTTTTCATATTTTATGTATATAGCAAACGTCTACCAAAAAGAGAAAGGAACTTCGATCCGAACGGGGGTCCATAGACTCAAGCCAATTTTCTAATGATTTTGCCGTTCTTTTATGTTTTACTTCACTTTCTTTTATAATTAATTTTTTTTCTTAATCTTGTTTTATCTTTTAAAAACATATTTAACTTTAAGTCCTTAATAGCTGACGTACTGGCATACATCGAAACAATCTTGTGGTATATTTAATCATGCCATTGTATCTATCTGAAAATTTTAAAAGAGTGGCAGTGAGTTTGTTTACCCTTTCTTCTCATAAGGCTCAACCCCTTGGAAACGGGCGGGTGTAAATCGGCAGGCAAATAATAGATTCTCGATACGTATACATTTATTGTGCTAAATATTTGACAAAACAGAGATTGTTGGTATTGTGCGTGTTGATTTATGACGTTAAAGTCTACAGTAATGAGTCGATTAAAAAAAAAATTGCTATGAAATAAAGATGTTTGAGTTTGACATATTTGAGTTTACAACATGGCAACTGATGGTCTTAGACCATGTATTTTCTACCGTGTGCGGGCGCAGCGCAATAGGGATCTCTGGCATTTAAGCTCAACTGTTACAATACACACACACACATACACACTTAGAGTCAATGAATTTATGTATTAACGCAGAGTGCTAGCAAAATACCTTTCCCTTTAAATATTGACGATGATCTTATTGTATGTATCTATTGTGTATCACCAATACATTTCTTACTTGTTTGCTTGCTTACACATTGCATTACTTACTTCCGGTGCAAAAGCAACAAAAGAATTGCTTAACACCGGTTTTCTGTGAAATCAATATCACTTCGGTCGAGTCTGGCCCATGTGTGCAGAAGCATGACTCATGAAAATTGTAGTTGACAAAATATAGTCATTTTATCCACATGTGCTTATTTCTTTGGTGCTAAAGGCGTGGTATATGTACCTCTCCTCTCACTTTCCTGCAACTTGTGGGAGTGATTTCATAAAAATTGGCGTAAGTGTATAACTCAAAGTGCGTGCAATGGCACGCGCTTTGAGTGATTTGAAAATTCTTCGTCCCAAAAATAATAATCTGAATCTTGTTTCGCAGGATGGTACATAATTATTCTGTTACCTTATTTGTCTAACTTACTTGTATATGTTCTGTGGTAAAGGAGCGATAGTATGGGCGTAGAATGTAGTAAAATAGTTACCATAGCGACCAATACTAGATTTAACATGTTTATTTATTAGAGCTGTACCTACGTAAATATCTAGTTAATTTAATTATTAAGCTTTTAATTAGGGTGCGATGTTAAATGAATTTTAATGGTGATTTACTAGAAAACCAAATATTCCTTTTAAGTTTTCTCAAAGTTGAAGAAAGACTCATAAGATAAAACAATGTTAAAGCAGCAATCTTGATTTACAACAAAAATAGAGGTTCATATTTCTTGCACAAATCTAATTATTACAATCTTATTGCTAAGTAAACATATCAGAATATTTTAAAAGTGAAATGTTTTGAGCAAAAACAAAATTAAACGGGATTTAATAGTATATAGGTATATTTTTATCCGGTGGAAAAGTGGGATGAGTGTCACAATGTCTGTGTTGAATGGTTAAACTAAGAACAGCCAAACTATGAATCGGTATGTGGTGCTACAGCAGCTCGGCGACGGGACGTATGGTTCCGTGGTGTTGGCGCAACGTCGCGACACGGGGGAGAAGGTGGCCATAAAGCGTATGAAGCGCAAATACTACTCGTGGGATGAAGCTATGAATTTACGTGAGGTCAAGTCTCTAAAAAAACTTAATCACGCAAATATTGTAAAGTTACGTGAAGTAATAAGAGAAAACGACACTCTATACTTCGTGTTTGAGTACATGCGTGGCAATCTTTATCAGCTGATACGCGACGCCGAACGACCCTTCCCCGAACCCGTATTGAGAAATATAATATATCAGGTACTTCAAGGGCTAGCTCATATGCACCGTCACGGCTTTTTCCACCGGGATCTGAAACCTGAAAATTTGCTGTGTGCGGGAGCGGAATTAGTGAAGATTGCTGATTTAGGATTAGCGCGGGAAGTGCGCTCTCGACCGCCATACACCGACTATGTATCCACGCGCTGGTATCGCGCTCCCGAGGTACTGCTTCACGACACGCGATACGGCGCACCCATAGATTTGTGGGCACTCGGTTGCATCATGGCGGAGTTGTACACGGGTCGACCATTGTTCCCTGGCAACTCCGAAATTGACCAACTGCACAAGATTTGCGCCATCCTTGGTACGCCTGATCGCGACGATTGGCCCGAGGGATATGCTCTAGCTGAAGGGTTGCGATTCCGTTTCCCGTCCAGTGCAGGAGTGCCGTTAGCACGCGTGGTGCCTTCAGCCTCACCATCCGCTTTGGCGTTGCTTGCTGCACTAATGCGCTATCCACCGCGCGATCGTCCTACTGCACCGCAGGCACTACGGTACGTCTAATCTAATGTGAAAAAATATATACACGTTTCTTTACATATGTGTAGAGTATCTCCCACCTACATCCACCCACCACGCAGTACACTAATAATATGCATTTTTTGATTTTAGATTTCCATACTTTGCTGTAGGCGCTGCACTCGTTTTACCACCACCAGCCTCCCGGGCGCGCAGGTAAGTGCCTGTGTGGACATAGGTATCCAAGGCTATAAACGTTCTATATTTTCTCTCCCTCGACTTGCCTGTCGATTTGATCAAGTGTAGCAATATACTTTCACATTTTTCTTTCTAAGCGGTCACCACGCGGCTTTCTACTGCGTTGAGTACTGTGGGTTCGATCCCTACATGGGGCAGCACTTTGTGTGATAGACAAATTGTTGTTACGAGTCAGGGTGTTCTTTGTCTACGTTTCATATGTTTACAAAGTCCCCTGCGATACAGGAATATGTTCCTAATGTGGGAGTTGCCGTTTTTAAGAACAAAAAAATTGTGTATGTGCAGAAGCTCCACCCGCGCAGAGGTAGAGAACGTTCCAGAGAAGGCGGCCAGGTCGCCCGTCCCTGCGCTTCCACTGCACGCTGCGCTTCAGCCGCCGGCACTCCGCGATAGGTTCGCTGATATTCTCGGGTAAGTGACGACTGCTCAACACACACTTTATACACTTATCGCGGTTAACGCCTAGTATTTTTTTTAGATCTGATTCTTCTCAGTTTCTGGTCCGACGCTACGACCGGGGAGAACTTTGAGGTTTGGTTTTCCCGTAATTGACTGCACGGATGGCGCAGTGGTTTAAGCGGTCGCCACGCCGCTTCCTACTGCGCCGAGTGTTGTGGGCTCAAACCCCACATGGGACGACACTTTGTGAGATCCACAAATTGTTGTTCTAAGTCTGGGTGTTCTTTGTGTCCGTTTCATGTATGTTTGTAAAGTCCCACACAGGATATATTCCTAGTGCGGGAGTTGTCTTTTTAAAAATAATAAAATCTATTGCTGACATTGAACACATGAACTGTATCCGGTCAGGCCTAATGACTAGTTCTATAAGATAAAACATTGTACCTTTCGGAACGTAGTCACGTACATGCTATACACATGGATTCGCTACGGGCTCTACAGCATAGACATGACACTGTGCACAGAGGCGAGGTAGTGCACGAGGCGAGCGGCGAGCAGCCCTTGCGGCGCGTGGCGGGGGTGGGCGGGGAGGCGCGCGGGCGCAGCGTGCTGGCGGCGCTGCAGCCGCCCGCACAGCACGTGCCAGCGCCCGCACAGCCTCTCGTCTCGCTCGCCCCTCCGGGTGCCGCGGCAGCCGCGTATTTGAGCGCAGCTCGATATGTCACGGGTTCGCGCATAGATACTTCGCTTTTCCGTCCGCTACCTCTTCGAGCGCATCGAGGTAATCGGTTCTCTTTCGATTTAATTTTTGACACATGTCGAAATTCGAGGTTTAACTCGACCCATCTCTTCTAGAAGCGACGGCGGTGGGTAGCGGTGCGGCCCGGGTCGATTGGGCGGCCAAGTACTTGCGATGAACGAGGACCCGTCACGTATCCGATGGAGAACGAGCGTTGTGTCGGCCCTCGCTCTTGAAGTAAAATTTTGATTGATTGTTTCATCGATAAGCCAAAAAGTATTGTCGTCTGTGTGTTGCAATTAGTAATAAAAGTATTTTTGTTTTAAGTTATCTAACAGAATCGTAACAACCATTATGTACATAGTACCGGCTGCAACTTCCTCTGCGACTCACAAAAGGAATACATTTTCCCCGTTTTTGCAATATTTTTCATTGATGCTCAGCTCCTATTGGTCTTAGCGTGATGTTATATTGCATTCCCCAATAAATAGGCTATCCAACACAAAAATATTTTTTCAATTCAAAGAGTAGTTCCTGAGATTAGCGCGTTCAAGACTAATGAATATCATGTCATTTTTAAATTAAGGATTAAGTGAACGAGGAGCAGTTAAGCACATGTAGATACTTGTAGCGTCGACAAAGCAAAGCTGAACCTAGACTGCTGCACTGGATCAAATAAATTGGTTGTTCCTATTTTATTTATTTTTAGTATAACATTTCTTGACCACGTGTATCTCACTGTCTGCTAGTACCTACACTTAATCAGAGTACCTAAGGCCCAAGCCCTTGTTAATACAGTCGACTCTTAATTATTCAAACTTCTCTACAATTTAAAGCATCTAACTGTTGGATCCCTAGAAAAACCCTTGATAAATAAAGGAAAGTCTTCCTACATTTTTTATTTATTTATAAAGGTATCTTAAAGAATTAAAACCACGCGGTAATTCGAAGTTTCTCGCCCAAACTCTCGACAAGTCGATTCATGAACAAGTTGAAACTCGTAAATCAAGTTGAACCTAGTATACGTAAATTGCAGTTAACATTACATTTGTAAAAATTGCCAATTTAAACAAAAACTTAACCAAAACATTAGACAAAACAGTAAATTGGATAAAAAACCATACCTAACCTCGAAATAAATTTTTCCAAAACTAAAACTATGTCCTTCCACCCTTATCCAAAATCCCCATTAGATATAAACTTTACATATAATAGTTCAAAAATAGAAGTTTTCCCCGAATTAACCCTATTAGGCCTGTCAATTGACACACACATCAATTGGAAATCTCACATAACGAAATTAAGATATAAATCTCTAAGTTCACATATGTCTTCCGCGAAGTTAAAAAGACCACCGACCTTCAAACAGCTCTCACCACTTATTACGCTTACGCTTATGCCTGGTTTAGTTACGGCATCATATTATGGGGTAACAGCACAGATACTCCAACACTCTTCACACTTCAAAAAAAACTAATTAGAATTCTGGTCAATATAGAGGACACCGATAGCTGTAAACCATACTTTAGATAACGCAACTTTCTAACACTGCCATCAATTTCTATTTTGGAAATATGTAAATTCGTACGAAAAAATCAACATCTGTTTACAAAAAGAGAGGATAAACAAAATATATTGAGTATTGAGTATTGAAAAAGTTACTAAAAGAGAAGGCAAATTTACTTAGAGATAAGACCCCATGTCACAGTTAATATCATTGTCCATGCAAAAAACAGTTTTTAGACTTTTCATTACACAAATTGTTTCAGCGGTGTAGGCGTGAAAACTATAAGAAGACAGAGTTACCTTCGAATATGTATAGAATTTTAGAACCAGCAATGCAGTTACATTTGGGACCGACTAAAAGATGTAACGAGGGTTCCGTTTTTACTGCTGAATAATTCAACAGTTACCTTTCAGTTTATCTATCTTACATTTAGATTTTTGATACTTACGGTTATATAAATGCAGAAATATATGCAGTGTTCTCTCGCCGCGCCATATTTAAAGTGGAGCCACATCACGGGTCACACGATGGCTAAGCGTATGTATGTTTGGTAGACAACTCAACATTACATGATACAACGGATCTTATAATAAGTGCTATCTACATAATTATATATGAATTTTACAATAAGTGCTACCGCGGCCTCACAGAATACCCACCGGTAAGCAATTCATTATTTGCTTTTTACCGAGTAAAAGGGTTAACCGTAGCCTAACCCCGTCCCTACTTAGTGGCAAGAATATACATAGATGTAAGGCCTATTTAAAACCAATTCAACCAATCAGTTTAATACGAAACTAATCGTTAAAAACCGAAATAAACCATTTTTTTCGGTTTAAAACGATTGGTGTTGATGATGTTTTTCTTAATCATAACTACATTTTCTTGATTTTACCGAGCCTACCTCGGTAAAATCAGAGTACCTATAAACTGTGTTCAGATTTTTTCTGTGTGATATACTGATATTGATATCCTTAGCGGGTTTACTTCAAGTTGGTCCGTCCGACCAAGCGTAGGTATTACCTACCCAAGTTATAAAAACTCATGAGTTAGAAACTCTATGTTGGTAAATAAACATTTTTTCATTGTTTTCGACGATATAAATAAACAATTTGATTCAGTTTAAAACCAAACACACTCTCCTTGCCATCTCATAGGTAGTTAATTGATCCCTTTAACAAAAAAAAAACATGGGGGCTAGATTCAATAAACTCTTTGAAGACGGTTTGGACTGTCGCATCGGAGTTGAATTTTTTTCCTTGTAAGAAGTTGTCCAAATGCCGGAAAAAATGGTAATCTGTTGGAGCAAAGTACGGGGAGTACGGTGGATGTCGCAGACATTCCAATTGTAGCTCATCTGACTTAGTGGTTGTTTGTTGTGCAGTGTGTGGTCTTGCGTTGTCGTGAAGCAGCAGTGGCCTAGAGCGATTGACCAACCTCGGTTGTTAGCAGCTAGTTCTTCCTTCATGGTTTGCAGTTGCCGACAATAGATATCTGCCGTTATCGTTTGCTCAGATTTTAGAAAGCTGTAGTGAACGACACCGCTGGTCCACCAAACACTCACAAGTAACTTTTTCTAAGTCAATTTTTGTTTAGGTTTCGATTTGGGTGGGTCTCCAGGGTTCAACCATTGCGACGAGCGCTTCCGATTATCGTACAGTATCCACTTTTCATCACAAGTAATGATTCGATTTAAAATCCCTTCATTATTGTGTCGGTTGAGCAAAGTAACACAGCAGTCGACGCGTGTTTGCAAGTTCGATTCACTCAATTAATGAGGTACCCATCGTTCAAGTTTTTTTACTTTCCCGATTTGCTTCGAGTGGATTAATACAGTTTTATCACTTACCCCGAAGCCTGCAGCTATCTCTGAAGTGCTTTGTGATGGATCCGCTTCCACAATAGCCTTTAATTCTTTATTTTCCACTTTGGTCTCCGGCCGTCCACGGGGTTGGTTCTGAAGACCGAAATATCCAGAACGAAAACGTTGAAACCAAAAACGTACCGTGCTGCTTTCTCTAGCGACACCAGCGCCGTACACATCATTAATCCTTCGAGGTGTTTCTGCAGCACTGCTGCCACGGTAGAACTCGTACTCGTGAATATACCGATATTTCATGTTTTCCATTGTGCGGTAATTAGCGACGCCAAGGAAAAAAAAAACAAATGTATGACTATTTTCAAGACTCAAATGTACCAGCTAAATGAATTTATAAATTTGAATTTGGAATTCTTAACCAAAGAGGAGATATTTCAGATCAAAGTGGTCATTACGACAAGATGCTAACTTCATATGTAAGGACCTAATATAATATAATAAATAAGTATAGGTAGGTATACGTACATACCTACTTCAGTTGCCGTGTAGTAGGACATGTAGGTAGGTACTTTCTGTTGATTTTCTATAAACTAATAAAAACGAAACATGACGTCAGGTGACCAAAAATTACCAAGCGAAAAATTAGGCGAATAACCGTTTAAAACGATTTATTTGGGGTTTAAAACGGCAACATTTTATTTAAAACAATTTAAATCGGTTGTTTTATATCTACAGGCAGGAACTCTAAGGGCGGCAACAACGCGCATGTGTCGCGAGTTACAAGTGGTGGACAGCCCCCCCCCCTGGTGACCCCCTATTTCCTGAACTCGGGGTCGGCTTTAAGTCTACTACGATACGGCTGAACTTCGATTTATTACGCGAAGCGATTGCCATCAGACCTCCACAACCCGATTACAAGGCGATATCGAAGTTCTGTAGAAAGACTGTCAACGGACTTTTTAGGGTTCTTAACTACGCGTAACATTTGCCTCAGATCCGAGGCAGGCAGAGGTCTCAATATGTTAAGAATGACTTGGCGAGGATTGCTTACCTTTGCAATGTGTTAATCTACTTGTTTACCAGTTAGCCACGAGCCCCCCCCCCCCTTCCTCATCAAGTGACCCCTATCAACTTGATAAAGAAGGGGGCATTGACCATTTTTTTGACGGCCGGTTGGCGTTGTGCAGCGGACTGCTATGCCAAAGGTCGCGGGTTAGATTCCCGCTCGAGTCAAACATTTTTGTGCATCAACATTCAATATTTGATTTGGTCAGAGTGTTTTCTTTATACTATGTATGTATTTACAAAAACCGATAAATAATTATGTTTTTATATCAGCTGTTGTATAGTACCCATAGACTAGACGGAGTGGTGTGAATGTGGTAAAATATAATATTTACTCAAAATGTAAATAGAACAAACATTAATGAATTTTAGTTGAGCTGTTTAGGAGAAAAACCTTGTTATGGTCAAGTGTTTGAACAGACAGTAGCTAGCCAGTGTTAGTAGGAACGCTACAATACTTGAATAGAGAGGCTGGCACGGTTGTTGGCTTCAACTCTGTCCTCCACATTACCTAAATACTTGTTGTCTATTATACTACTACTGCCTATTAAGTTATAGTAGCAGTACAGTGGACCCACGAGAACTAATATCCTAAAGCTTGTTTTCTGACTAGGCTCTAGTCCAACAATAATACTGGATAATATGTAGGTAATGACATCCTTGCAACACCACTATTCATCACATATAACATACTTACTATATGTATCATTGGCTCTCACCCAATCACTCAAGTAAAGGTTATTCTCCCAGAAAACATGTTTATCTTGTAAGCCGACAATTAGTTTGACAAATTTCATGAGTATCGGTTCAAAAGCTAAGGCATGAAAGTGCAAAACGGTTGTATTTATATTTTTATGGATTACTTTTATATCTGCAATGTATAAGGTAATTTGTGAATCAACTAAAACAACATATAATGTTTTTAACATTAAATTTATATATAAAAATATGATTTTATTGGATACACAATGTGTCAATCTCCTGCATAAATAAACAAAGTAGCTACGTGGGTGCTGGCCCACGCAGACATCGACTACATCAATGGACAGGTGCTGGTCATATCTTGATGCTTACAATGTTTTGCGGATTACTCACAGAAGTATTAAATATACTTTATACAAAATAGATACTGCATATTTGCATGATCTTTGGATCTGCTCTTTTAACATTACTCAATAATCTATTTCTAGATGTTTTACTTTAGCTAGTTTTAGCAATCTGGTGTTGAAGAAATCCACAGAGCAGGTACACTTATCCAGAACACACAATACTAAGTACATCAACAACGTGTTAGAATAGACTGAATACCTTGGTGTGGAGTGGCCGTGTACACCTCAGAAGCTCTCAATATTTCCATTCAAAAACTGACACTGCAATTGAAACATCAGAACAACATCATACTATATTATATTATTTACACATTTCATATAAAATTTGACAGTGATCAACAAAGAGCGTAGTGGGCATGCACCGGGTCAGTCCGGAGCTCACACTGTGAGTACACTTGGTGCACATGCAAACGTCACTCATACTTGAGGTAAGGCTTGTCGAGCGCGGGGTGTGGTGTGGCAGCCGAATGAGGCGGCTGTTGCGGCCACGCGTCTCCAGCCCAGTTGAAGACGCGGGCTGCACCACCACCCGCCTCCACGAGACCCCAACCGAGCAGTTGAGAGCCGCGAGCGCCGCCCCCGCCTCGCTCGCGTTTAGGTGACGCTGTGGAGATGTTAACCGATACTCCTTTAATTATGTGGTCCTGGCCGCACAGTGACTGTGCCACTTCTGGATCTAGGAACGTCACAAAGCTGAAGGCGCGGAATGGTCGTGGTACGAACACATCCGTCACTTGCCCGAATGCAGCGAAATATTCACGTAAGTCTTCTGCAGTCAAGTTCTCGGTACACCTTCCCACGAACACTTTCCGGTGCGCGCTGGCGCCACCGTCCTTTCCATTCGGGATGCGCACGTCACACCACCGGCCATCAATCATATGGCGCCGGCCCAGTGCTCTCAACTGAGCTTCGTACTCCGCGAACTTTATAAAGCCGAAGCCTTTCGATAACCCCGTCTTAGCATCCCGTTTCACTTGCACCATTAGCAAATCGCCGAACGCGGCGAAATACTCTCGCACGGCATCTTCGCCTGTCTTCCAAGGAAGACCGAGAACTATAAGATCAGAACATCGCGGTCGCGGCGTTGGCGACGGAGAGGAGCGCGGGAAAGCACACCAGTAGCGATGGGCAGCCCAGCCTTCAGCCGGAGGCGACAGGCGCTCGTCCACCAGACGCAGACCGCGCAGCCGGCCGCCTGCGCGGTACTTGAGTCCACTGGCGCCGGCGAACTGTGCGGCGACAGTGCTCAACAGCAGTGAGCCGTCCTCCTCGGTGGGCAGCTCGATGGGCTCTTCCTGCTCCCCCTCACTCACCGGCACGTACTCTATCGACATTGCTCTCACCGACCTATTCCGTCTCGAGCACTCCTCATTTCGTTTACATTATCATCTATCGGGTCCGTAGATACCCTATCGAGCGCATTTAACTTCTCAGACCGAGGGTGTGAGCAAATATTAGTTTACTTTTAACATTCACCTTCCTTATGTCCGTTTCTCTTGCACTTGGCGTAAGCGTGACGTATGACGTGACGTTCCATGTCAAAAATGTTGCTATGCTATTTTTAAAATAGAATCGGATACACATAATAAAATAAAAGTTGTTTTAGTTTTAAATTGTATTTTCTTTATATTAAAAATGTCGCGATTGATTATAATTTTAACTACACGTGTTAAACCGTTTATGATTCGAAAATTCACACGTTTGTAAGACTTTTACCTGTAGTAAATTATTTTATTATGTTTTAAGGTCGATTTATTCAAAAGCATTTACTTACAACACAAAAGTTAGAGTTACATACGGTAGGATACAATACTACAGGAATCAATGACGTTGACTAGTGTCTCGAACAGCTTGTAGAATTACCAAATTTATTTTTTCTTTATTATCTTCTTTCTTTTTCTTTATTAAAATAAAGAACTAAAACTTTTTCAATTAAATAAAAAATACAGCATAATGTTTTTAAATGTTTGTATGATCTCCAAATATTTGTTTCATGCCTAGTTTCCATGCGTGCCGAGGCTTGGCAAACGGCCACAAGCTCCAAGTCTTTACGAAGGCTTGAATGCCATTTACACGCTTGCGAGGGTGCCATTGTGTGGCCAATGTGTTCCGGACAGGCAAACATAGCAGACGTGGACATATTTTTATTCAAAATATAAATGACGGCACTAAACTAAAAATAAAAAACTCCAGCTTACTGCTCAATCAGTAGAGCATTGAGACTTAATGTTGATTTCCGATTGCTCAACTACAATGCTTTTAATATCAAATTGAGCGGTAGGGAATAGTAATGCAATAATTTATTCTTTACACTCATATTTAAATTGTAAATTCTTCAAATTAATTGTAGTCGTGAAATTTCGTGAATCTATGAATTAATACGTACACGTCACACTCTTCAAAACTTAAATTACCTATACCTACTCTATAATTAAACTTCTTATTAACAAATACTATATAGGTACCAATTCAAGAGCAACTTCAAACAATTTAACAAAACATTTAGTAACAAAAAAAAAATCGGTTGTCTGTAAAGTCGGTTTACTGACGATGGTTGAACGTGACAACGTCATAAGAAAATACTGATGGAATGGTTGCATTTTTCAAAAGAAACTTTAATTTTATTTGTTTGATAGATATTTTATATGGATATAGAGAAGGAGGTAAATGGAAATCACAATTGAATTGATCGATATATAGCTGTATATAGAATAGAGATGAATATTCTATATACAGCTATATTGTATAGCAGCTGTCCACGCGGAGACATCGCTCGCTCAAGTAGGAGAGAGAGATGTCGAACGCTGCCGAATGCGGAGGCCGATTGTGCCTCTTTGTCGCTCGTTCCGCGCTCTCGCTTGCACTTCAAGCCTTAAATGGAACGCCTCAGAGCGAGGTAACGCCGCATGAGTCATGTTTTTTCGTGCGTGCAGCCGGCTTCATCGAATTATAAGACGTTGTCACGTCAATAACTGCCTAATACAAATTTACAAATTTTTAATTACGTTTTTAATTTATTTGATTATTAGTATTCCGTTGCATTAATGTTGGTAATATCAATAGAAACGCTTAAGTTTTCTACTTCTACTAAAACTGTACTAATAGTACTATTACGGTGTGCTATTATAGTACGTTGTACGAATTGTACTAGTACGGTGCGAACCTGCAGATGTCCGATTAAGCACAAGACTAGAGAGAGACAGATGTCGAACGCTGCCGAACGCGGAGGCCGATTGTGCCTCTTTGTCATTCGTTCCGCGCTCTCGCTTGCACTTCACGCCTTAAATGGAACGCCTCAGAGCGAGGTAACGCCGCATGAGTCATGTTTTTTCGTGCGTGCGCTCCATCGAATTATAAGACGTTGTCACGTCAAAAAAAGGCATTTTCTCCCAGTCTTCCTTTGGTGGTGGGGAAATGTCTGACTATGTGTATTAGATAGTAAGTATTTTTAAAGAGATAATATTAGTTGAGAAGATTGACAGAAACAATGGAACAGAGATACATACATACATAGTGATATACACATATACAATGTGGCGGTATAGATATCACAAAAAATGAAATAACAGATAACACGGTTCAATATACGTCGGTTAATATAAAAAAATAAAAAATTAGTACGAAAATACAGAAATGCAAATTTAGAACAAACTAAATACAATAAAATAATTTCCGAATTAGAACACCATTGATAACATGAGTCGGTGAACTGTACCTACACGGCAGCGTCGCAATGTCGGCGACATCAAAACGACGCCGCCGCCGCCGCCGCCGCCGCGAGCCGGCGAACTTTACATTCTTATTACCTACCTACCAATCACTTCACTTGCTTTTAAAAATCTATTTATAAAGAATGCGATTTTATTCACGTGTTTATTTCGTGAATGCTCGACTAGCTTCCGACCCAGCAGTACGCGTCACTCCTTGAAAAAGTATTTACCTTGGTTGTCTCGTAATCTTTGTACCGCCCTTACAAAAATTCGGCAGTCTGTAGGACATACACGATTGACTCCATACGTGTCCGTAAAGCAAAAGATGCGTTTTGATAGAGTTTTCCATAAATTAACATCATAGCAGGATATTCCGCGGCTGTGAAGGTCACTCACGGCATTATGGATGTTGATATCGATAACCCAATAAAATTAAAAGACTGATAATGCACTCAGTTTCACACTACACTACACACATAACCTAATAGTGACTTTTCAAAATAAAATTAGCAGGACTCCTTACATTACGAAGTCTTGCGCACACGATAACATTAATTGTTCACACCATTGCCGTGTATTATGACGAAAGCAATAAGACTAAACAATTATTACCACAAGAAAACTTCTCTAAACAAATATGTATCTCATAAACAACAACAATATTATTATTACGGTTATTTGTCGTGAGCGCATCTACAAGGATACGGAATAGCATAAGCTCGCCGGTGGCCAAGGGCCGACTGACTGTCCTTACTGGATGAACTAATTAAAAACGCGTGTTGCATCGTGATGACGTAATAATCAACATATTTCGTTCGATTCGGGTGTAGTAAAAGCGGCAACGTGTGATTACCGCGCCGCGTATACCTACAGCTGATCGCCGCCTGAGGTCAATGTATTATGACTGCATGTACACATGATGTTGCAATTTACGAAACACAAAAATGAGTCCTGTGGCTAAACTACTGGATATATTTTGTTCATATTTTGCAAATCGCCTAGAAATTAAGGGCAGAATATGTGGCTTAAGTATTTGGGAAAGGAAATGAAACTCTCTGTATATACTTCTGTATATACTTGCTGAGTTACATAATAACAAAACAAAAATAATATTATATATTTAACTTTTTAAAACTCAGACTTTCGTCTTGAATGAGAGGTGGCTGGGTGTTATCCAGATTTCCAGAGGGAGAGCGTTCCATAGGAAGACAGATAGGATTAGAAACGAAGAGTGGACACACGCGGAAGTATGAGTTGGGCATAGCAGAAGTGGATTGTTTGAGGAACGGAGGGGTGTATTGTGATTCATCAATCATCATCAACAGCCTTTAATAGTCCACTGCTGGACATAGGCCTCTCTTTAGAAAAGAGGTTTTGGCCTACTATACCACGCTGGCCAGACGGATTGGTATAGGGTTTGGGTCAAGTTTTCTTTCTTTTTGCAATGCTGGTGTCCTGCATTGTTTCGCGCCCTTAGTCGGTTCTTACGACACCCACGGGATGAATTGGGGTAGTGACATTCCGTATTCTTAACCCGTCACTACACGGACACTTTTGTGATTGGAACATAGAAATTGTAATGAAGTGGTGGGAGGAGAAATAGGTGAGTTGAGAATGGAATAGAGGAAGGTAAGGGCACGCAGTTAACGGCGCTGACGAATCGTATGCCAGTTCAATTTGTGATGAAAGGAGGAAACATGGCCGTATTTTCGAAATTTAAAGACGACTTATTCAAAAGGCGGTCATATTTATTGAAGAGATCTGCATGCAGGTCATAATAGCATACTGTCAGTTTATGTATGTTCTTCTAGTGAATATTTAGGTCGGTAGGGCTTTCTTCAATGAATTCCTTTATTTTAATATATTATATACATGCGTATATTTAAGGTAAGTAGTACAGACAACATTCATATGGTAAGTGTTCTCGTTACAAGTGTGATCTATATATATAAGTGATCGTTGACATTTCAAAAAGTAACGAACCAAATACAATCAAAAGAACGGTACTTCCTTTTCAATCTTCAATCCCCTCAGTTCCTCCCCAAGGTCCTAGATGGCGCTAGACGTTCTTAACATGCCCCCGGCCTTGGAAGCACCTGGTTCCAAAGGGGTCGATGAGCCGCAGGTGTGTTCTTCGTCAGGACTCAGCAGTGGACAGATTTTTGCGAATGATCTACGGATTACGCTCGCCACTGTTTTGATGTTGGCGACGCGTGAGATTCCATCCTTTCCAGTGAAAGTCTCCAGCACCCGTCCCAGCCGCCACTTCAAGGGAGGCAGGTTGTCTTCCTTAATCAGAACAAGAGCATTAGAGGCGATGTTGTCCTGATTGGTTTGCCACTTCGTTCTCTTCTGAAGTTCAGTAATGTAGTCCTTGGACCACCTCTTCCAAAAATGCTGTCGCATCTGCTCCACACGATCATAGCGAGGAAGGCGTTGTGCAGCTGTCGCCGTGAGGTCTTGGCTGGCTGGTGCAGTGAGCGGACGGCCTATCAGGAAATGAGCAGGGCAGAGAGGAAGGAAATCATTAGGGTCTGTGGAAATTGGTGTCATTGGTCGGGAGTTGAGGACAGCTTCAATTTGTGCTAACATCGTACTCAACTCCTCGTAAGTAAGGTCCACGC